TTTTTGCAGATGATCTCAAGATAGTATATGATTATGGGTACGGTGATATGAGCGTCGAAAGCAAGATCCAACAAGACTTAAATGATCTAGGCGATTGGAGCGAAAAGTGGCAACTGACTTTCAACCCAGACAAGTGCGGTATAACCCACCTTGGACGCTGGAAACCGATAATGTGCCTATATATGTACGGTAAGCTCCTCTCAAAACTGAACACAGTCACAGATCTCGGGATAACATACTCAGATTTATCCTTTTCCGATCATGCAAATAAGGTTGTATCTGACTGTAAACGACTTACTGGCTTTGTACTGCGTAACTTCTACACCCAAGAAGCAAGATTAGCTATATATAGGACATGTATCCGTCCCAAACTTGAATATTGTGCTCTCCTATTTAGTAACCTCAGGACTGTAGACAGAAAAAAATCGAAAGTGTCCAGAGATTCCTCACGAAACGCATAATAGGGTTCGACCAACAAGTGGAATATGTTGACAGGTGTGTACGTCTGAAATTAGAGCCTCTGTGGTTAAGGAGAGTGAAGTGCAACCTATTTCTACTCTTCAAAGTCATTAGGAAACACTGCTACAGTAACTCATCCATAACTTGGGAAAATATTAAATCATATCAGCTGCGAAACCACGACTACCTTGTCAAGGTGGCTACCCACAGAAAATCCATTAGGGCAAACTTTTTCACCATAAAATATTGCACTCTTTGGAACCAACTACCACCTGAAATAAGATGTTGTGAAAACCCTGATGGGTTCAAACGGAGCCTAGAAAGACACTTTAACATGTCCACCCTAGCTCGTCTAAAAGACCACAACTGTTGGTAGAACGGAAATTGAAGGCCAGTCCAGTCTTCAGTATAGTCACATACGTATATCTCGACTCTAATACTCACGCAGCGAACGTTAACTAATTTACTGATTTCTATTCTCTATAATTTTCACTAAGTTGTGTTGGTAAAAGTAACACTGGAAATAATTGTAATAGCATCCACACCTTTTAACGTTTTACATATGTATATACTAATATAATAATACTTATTAATCATGCATGTTCAACTCTTAAATTAGATGGATATTAAAATACTTAAAATATTTATGCATCAAATGTTCTCTTGCTTTACCACGCTTGTTTCCCTTATAACACTCAATTATTGAACCTAGTGTAATATTTGATATACGAACTATATTATTGATTATACTCTTATCATATATGGTTTGATTTACTCTACGGCTCCCTGTAGACTAACCACCATTCTTCAGTATACACACACTGCAGTATTGTTAACAAAATGCCAAAATTTCGTTGGTTCTGTGTTAATATCTTTTTATAATATGTCTAGACACGTTACTTTGCAATGTCAGATGTTTACTATATATAAGTACACTAAGTCCTGCCAACCGACCTTACCTTCAGTCCATACTACCTAAATTGAACCTTAACTATAGTATTCTGCTAAATCTTGCTCCACTATTCACAATACCTATTCGTTTTACTCTTTAAGTTTTAACTTCTTATAAAGTAATCTGTTCATCAGGATGCATGCACACATATATAATATGTTCGTAAAGATGTACGTGGAGACCTATTGGAAGCACTCATTAAGAAAGCTAGGGAGATGGAATATGGGGTACGAACATGTCTGGTACCAAGCAATATATTTGCGGTAGCCATAATAATCATAGTCTCAGAGCCTAACATCAAAAAAGGAGGGAGGGTGGCGCTAGCTGATCAGTAGATATGGTGGTGGTCACTAAGGTGAATCGCCCCATTCTGCAGGAACAGCAATATACAAATTAAAGGCTCGAGATATTTCTGATTTTTATGAGGGCTTAGATCTTTATCTTGAAAAAGATAATAGTGAACGCCTTGACAGATAATGCTTCTACCTTTAAATATATACCATTCGCTCAGCCTATTGTTGAGATGCGACCACGTGGGATCTGCACAGATTTATGGGGCATCTTATAAATTAACTTGCTATCCATTGTCAGATCTTTAAATACCACTTCACAATATCTTGTCTCACTTATTTTCTAATAACGTCTTTACTTGATTCTCATTATATTCCATTAAACCTAACATTTTATAGCTCTTTATGAATTTGATTCGACTTATTCTATTCCTATTCTCTGGAGGGTACGGTTGTGCACCAAATAGAAAAAAAGACATGAAATAAAAACAACTGGCTTGAAAATAATTGTATTAAAGCCAAAAGTGGACATCATGATAGTATAAAATATATTGGTTTCATTATACATTGCAAATGAACGTTGTCGGCCTAAGGATTAATTACTTCCCCATTCTGTTTTCTATATAAATGTGTTTATTAATGATATATTTCACTCACTTAATCTATTACACTTTAATGTTTCACCTTAGCACTTTAACTTTTCTAAAACAGCTTCCAATTCCTTGTAAACGTTGTACTTACCTCAATATTGGTTGGTTATCGTATGCCTACAACCACGGGATGAAAACGAAACGAAGTCGATTTTCCCGCTCAACCTGGAGGACAACTGTACAATTCAATAACTATACGGCCTGGTTCAGACAATGAGTGTATCAAATATTTAACTGTTGAAACATTATTAACTTGTAGACAATTTAAGATTTGACATTATATCATCCTTGATCGTGCCTGTAAAAATGGCATGCATTTTCATGTAAATTTATGTTTATATGAAAATAAAATTATTATTATTATTGTTATATGAAAAGCTGAGGACGGAAATCATCCAACGACATTTCACCTCCAAACTACTTGAAAAGGATTACAAGAAAGACTATATTTCACAGTGTATGTCCCTAAATCTTGACCCACCTTGGACTAGACGACTTGTTGTAAAATTAATATTTTTCCTTAAGGTCTTACAGAAAATATTCTCGGAGATTAATGACCTGCATTCTCACCGCAAGTTTCTCACGATTTGCGTAACCGAATTTCCAGCTTCTCCAGAAGCATGTATTCTAAAATATGGAACGGTTTTCCCTGGAAGTCAAAGCCTGCATTTTAGTTGTAAGTTTCGATTGCTCTCTATGCAAACTGTTTCATTCTACTGTTGACAGTAACAAGCTATTGATTTTTAAAAGGGTTCAATATCTAGATTCCTGTAGTGCCTGAATAATGCGTGAGACCTCACTGTTCATTCTGCATAACGATAAACAGACTAGCCACATATGTGTAAAGTGTGTAAGAGAATATCAATATGTTTATATAATAGATGGCAGTGTACAATGAATATATACACATATTTTTACATACATGCATTAATGCTCTGTTTGTGCCCACGTAGTCTTTTCTTCCGGTACTTTGCTTCTGTTTTCTTCTATTCGCCTTGTAGTGAAAGCTGCAAAGACCTCCAGTAAGAGTGACAGTGAACAGGACTCGAGGCGTGTTACTCATATTTACCACATAACTTTCCAAGCTGCTGGCTAACAATAAATCCCCGTCCTCAAAAACCTCCATGTCAACATATCAAGACGCCATATAAAACTCTGAATGAGGTAAAATTTAACTTTAAGCACCACTAACCGCTAATCAGAGGTCACTGAGTTTAGATCAGCCATTTGTAAACACCATTGGAAGGCTCGCGCCCAACTTTACTTCAACACACACCCTAGTAACATGCCACCCAATAAAAGCTGGTTTAGCTGGTGTAAATACTATGATTGGGATCTGCTTCTCATGTTACCCTCTTTCAGCAGCCGTCGTATACGTTGATTTTCTGACATCGAAAGCTGTTTTATCCCTTGGAGCCTAAGTACGTATGTATATGCTTGAGTGAAGGCTTAAGTATGAGTTCACTCACTTTGCTAGTCTCATAAATTAACTGAGAGAACACGTCTGTGTACCTAGTAATTTCAGTCTTGATACCATGCGTATCGAAGTAGCGTTGTAGTTGAACAGACCATAGCTACACGTCAGGGTAATGTAACTCAGGTTTGCTGATTTTTGTAACTGCTATATAATCTAGCTCTATGGAAGTAAAGTTTTTAAAGTCAAATTCCATGCTTAGCAAAAAGGGCATTACAATGAATAAAACAATTAAATTGCTGGTTATGTACGGATCAAAAATCCTAACAAATAACCTAAAGGCAAAAATGTATAAGTTATAGTCAAATGTGATAGAATATAAGGCAAAATGAGAATTCGACGGGATCATTAAATTAGAAAACTACCTTTCTATGGAAATAATTACGCAATTCACTGAACTCAAGCTCACGCTGTTATAAACGTTCGTTCTGTCATGATGCCTTTGTTTTCGAAAGCAAGGTAGTGGGACAGTGAGGTGGATAACCTAGTCAAACACACGGAGTGATATTCCTCAATTAATTTCATTTAATAGATAAAGAAAGCCTCATAAATCATATATACACAGTTCCTACCTCGCTACTATTCCCATCCTTCTGAGTAACTCAGTCATTAACTAGATCTGAATGGCCACAGAATACTGTGTCGTAGACGCCTCATATGTTACCCTAATCGTCATAGAATCCTTTGAACCAAGTAGTATCTAGGATAATCTATTTATAAACCTTACTTCAACTGTCCCTCACTGATTTGACTTAGGTTTTCAGAATTTCAGTCTTGATTATTGGGCTGGGTACCGTAAATTTCCCCTGTGATTTATTACTGATAAAAACCTGTCTATCACTCTCCATAGCACCCTCTCAATCTCTTACATCTCCATCTATGTGATCTGTTTGTGACTGAGACTACTCTTTTCAACTTAGTGAAACTAAACTGCCCTTGATTTCTACGCCCGATTGTGACTGGCCTTTGTAACAGTTAAATGGATGATAAATAGCATGGACAAGTGATCCTTCTGTCTCTCATAACCCCGAATATCTGCAGAAAGTTTCCTTTAAAGACCAGGAGAATGGCTGAAATAATTGATCGTTGAGGGTGAAATGCATGAATTTCACTTATTTGAACAAATTTCCTTCATCCATCACATCAATACATATTGATTCATTCAACGAAGAAATGAAAGGAATCAGTCGGGGCAAGAGACTCCTCATTCCTTTGGAATATCTCAAAAGTGTCTGAAACATTGTTAACATTATAGTGCGGCGGTGCTGTTCGGTGAAGTATTTCGACAGTTGGAATTCAATTAGCACTTATTACTGCGCCTAAAGTGCCTTGAGATAATTTTCTTTAAACACTCAAAGAGAGAAAAATTAGCCTTATATCTGTTAGGCTTATGCATAAATCATCCGTTAATGTATCGTTCCCTTTCTAAGGTTGATTATTTTCAATGTAAAAAAAAAGTTTTATTCGTCAAATCTCACCTAAAGATCCAGGAGGTAACAACTATTTTCCCCAAAGAGAACGTTCTTTAGTTCCAAAGATTTAGAAAAAAGGCTCTAAGGCTTCTTGAAATTGTCCAACTAGGGAAATCAGAAAGGGCAAACATCTTAAAGTTTACGCTACGTGCCCTTCAATTACTGGATTTCAACATTTCGGGGATCAGTGTCATCGGGTGGTTGGTTTCAAACTAGACTAAAATGTCTTATGCGTATCTTTTTAAGTATATTATTATCGGTGATACAGGTATGTTTGTGTTACTGATGCTGTTACGCCCAGCTGTTGGAAAATCATGTTTACTTCTTCAGTTCACAGACAAACGTTTCCAACCGGTATACGATTTGACTATTGGTGTTGAATTCGGTGCCAGAATGGTAAACATTGCTGACAAGCAGATTAAACTTCAAATATGGGACACGGTGAGTACATGTGTTGACGGTGGCAATCGTGTCATGTTATCTGAGTAGTGGCTGTACTGTAATTTTTTAAGTTTTATTATTTTCACATGTTGAAGAATAAACTAAAAAATCAGCGGATACAGGGCTTTCAAAGTATGATAAACATCATATATCCATTTTATTTTGGTTTAAATATAAATGCTAATCATTTGACCTCAGACTGGTTTATATATGTATATGTAATGAACAATACTTTTAGATGTTTAGGGGCAAGTTGAGGCTTTTTGGACGTTTTGGTTAATCTAAGTTGTAAAAGGCTTGAAGCTGAAGTGGGGAAATAATTTATTTGTACTTCGAATTAGTAATTTACACAGTCCAGCTAATCATTGTTAAGGTTTTTGTATTTCACAATGAAAGAAAAACAAAACGATATTGTTTTTACTGACGTCTCGCTATTTAATGCTAATAGATTCAGATTATAAGGATAGAAAGCTCTTGTTGCCTTTGTTAATCCTCGTGATATATCTCTCTGCAGAGATCCAGTTTCACTTTGAAAGCGTTCACCGATGGAGCTGTTGCTACTGAATCAGGTAAGGAGTCGGTGACCACTCTGTGAGAGAATCTAAACTCCAACCGTATTTTGTTCGACCTCGGTTTGAGCACCTTCGGATGACCCTGTAAATGTATCCTAGAAGAAGAGAGAGAGAGAGAAAAGGTTTGAAAGGTCAATCCCTGAATCACCCTTGAGTATACGGTAAGTCGAAATTAAGTTGCCTCTCCTCCTTCGGTATGATAATGGGAAGAGATTTAAATGCTCCATCCTCATGTTATAAGGAAGGTGTGAGATACCACTAACAAATTTCGTCCCTATCCTCTGTACTCTTTCCAGGGTATGTGCCTCCTTTATGAAGCATCGACTCGCCGCTTATATGCAGTACTCTAGGTGAGGCCTGACATATGTTGCGTAGAGTACTTGGAACATACCCTCGTCTAACCGTTTGAAAGCCTTTCGAAGTGCCCATAACATTCGAAAAGCCTTAGCTACGGCTCGATTACAGTGTGCCGTTGTTTTAAGTTATTGTTTTTAAGTCTTGTCTAACAATAATTCCAAAGTCCTTTTGTTCCCTAGTACCTGGCAGTTCTGTGTCTATCATGAGGTATGACGTGTAAGACTTCTGACACCTAGGTGCATTACCCCGCTTTTCTTGAAATTAATTTCCAGACTCCAAAGATTAGCCCATTAGGCTAGTTTGGCTATATCATTTTGTAGTACCAACCTATTATCGCTACTTCCATATTAGTTTGATTATTAAATGCATCACACAGTGAAACAGTATTGTATACTGAATGACGTTTCGAACACAATTTATTGTTCATAATCATATCAATTTTTGTCACACGACTTCGAGATTTGATTTTTATAGTTTTCTCTATCTTCTATTTGTTGTATGGGCAGTAGAATTTTCCATATATCTGGGACAGGTGTTGAATCATTCCTATTACATGTATTTGCAGTTGATTCGATAAACAAAGCTTCTGTTATCAATCTCTCCCTATACCCTGTCACATTAGATTTTAAAACTGTCATCCTATCCCATCCTATTGTATGGTTGTGTGTAACTGCATGTAGTGCTATAGCTGAACTACTCTCTAGATTTCTTATCTTATTCAGGTCAACCAATCTAGATTTAGCTAGGTTTTTATGTTCGGCTAGTCTGACTGCCCCTTTTCTACTAGTTTGACCTATGTATTTGACCTGACAATTATTCCAGGCAGGGTATTAGATAAACTAAATTGTTTTGTTTTAATGGCTCTACAGGATCCTTTAACCGACAAAGCTTGTTTCTAATTGAGTTTGTGGGTTTGAATGCCACTTTTATTCCTGCCTTGTTAAGAATTCTGCGTAAGGCTTCCGAGGTTCCTTCTTTGTATGGAATTATTGTTGATGATTTACATTCCTTATTGTTGGTGTCGTTATTAATATTATTATCACTATTATTATTATTACCATTATTATTATTATTATTGTTATTATTATTATTATCATTATTATTATTATCATCACTATCTCTGTTATCATTATTTATTTTATTTTTACATTTACTTACATATTTCTTGACTAATTTATCCGGGTAATTATTAAGTTTCAAGGCTTCTTTTATGTGTGTCACTTCCTGTCTTAGATTTCCCTTGGTACTACATAGTTTTTGTGCTCTGTCATTTAAACATTTCACTAATCCTATTTTTACTGACATAGGATGGGATGATCGGAAATCCAAATATCTGTTTGAATGTGTGGGTTTTCTGTAAACACTAGTGTTTAGCTTCCCATCTTCTTTCCTTTTTACGTTGCAATCTAACATTGGAAGTTCCCCTTTCTGACTTTCCAATTCATAAGTGAATTGAATTGCATCTACCTTCGAGTTGATGTGCTCGAAAAATCTATCTATATCTTGTGTTCTAAGTACAGTGAATGTGTCATCTACATACCTCCACCATACTTTTGGGGTGGGGGTGAACGTTTCAATCGCTATCTTTTCCCACCTATCCATGAATATATCTGCTACCACCGGGGATATTGGTGATCCCATGGCAACTCCCTCAGTTTGTTTGTATATTTTCCCTTGGAATTTAAATATTGTAGAAATCAGGCAAAGCTGCACTCCTAGCATTATGTCCTCAATTGGCACTTTTGTCCTAAGTTCGAGTTCTTGGCCAGAAATGAGTTCGTTTCTGACCGCCTCTATAGCCATATTTATTGGTATACGTGTATATAAACTGACAATGTCAAAACTAACCAGTTTTTCTTCATTATCTAATTTTAAATTATCTAATCTGTGTTTTAGTTCATAAGAATTAGTTAGTCTAGATTTCGAGTGGATTTTTAGGGGATTTAATTCCATGGCTAAATATTTAGATAATTCATAGGTAGGTGAATTTCTAAAATCAACTATAGGCCTAATAGGGTATCCTGATTTATGAATTTTAACAACACCATACATACTACTGGGGTTATTAGTTTTTGGCATGAAATTAAACCACTTAGACTCACCTAGAAACGGCTTCATTCGGCGTATAAGGTCCGTTGTGGATTTCTTAACTTTATTCATAACTGTGTCTATTGATTTATTAATTTCCTCATATGGTCCTGTTTGTATGTGAGTATTTACCTTGTCCAAATAGTCCGATTTGTCTAATACTACTGTTGCGTTCCCTTTGTCTGACTTTGTGATTACTATATCCTTGTTATTCTTGAGGTGTTTTAGGGCTTCTGTCTCTTGTTTTGTCAGGTTAGGTTTTCCACATTTTTGTCGTTTTAATGTAAGTGCACATTGTGCACGTACTTCTTCAGCTGTTGTTTTGTCTATCCCACTTAGTGCTATTTCTATTTTAGGGATGACGTCCTCAGGTTTTAGCTTGTCCACCGCTACATTGAAGTTTAGTCCCTTTTCTAATACACTTATTTCCATCGGACTTAATATATGTGATGAGAGATTGATAACCCACTTTGATTTATCGATCGCCGTTGATTTTGGATTGTTGACTTCATTATTCTGAGATGAAGATTTCTCCTCTAATAATTTGTTGAACTTTTTGATTTGACTATTTTTTGACTTTTTGAAAGTGGCTGATTTTGCATTGTTGGAGGATTGTGTTATAAGATCATAATCTACATTGGTAACTATTCCTTTTAGCTTTTGTTTTAATTGCTCAATTTCACATCTGATATGTTGTAATTTTCTAACGATTCTGTGGATCTCTTCTTTCAGGCATAATTTTTGTAGACTTTCTATTCTGCTTCTAACTCTGTCCGTTGGAACCGGAGCTCGTAGACGTAGATATTTAGGAATGATTTCATTTTTTAAGCATCGAATGTTAAAAATACGGTGATTTTCATATCTTGCTTCAGTTTGTGAAAGTCGAGTGAGTTTATTGATAAGTCTTCGTACAGGAAGACCATAAGTCACGTTAATATATGAGTACAACTTGGGCACTGTGGTATTAAGTAATTCCATATTAGTTTGATTATTAAATGTATCACACAGTGAAACAGTATTGTATACTGAATGACGTTTCGAACACAATTTATTGTTCATAATCATATCCATTTTTTTATATGATTGATAGGTTACCAGTTATGAGGCAGCCGTTCATCGTCCTTCTAAGAACATCCGTCAGTTGCTATTCCATCTGTTCTGTCTTATTTTTCTCATTGTCTTGTTTTAAAAATTTATTATCATTAGAGATTAGAGCTGTTAATTTATTGATGTACACATCTCTGTCCATAAGGACCACTCCCGAACCTTTGTCTGGACTTGTAATGATTAGATCTTTGTTGTTTCTCAAGCCTTTAAGCTGCTGTTTGTGTTCCTTTGTCAGGAGTTGTCGGACTTTAGTTTTTGAGTTGAGGTACTGATTACGGCAGTCGAAGATCGTAGACTTGAAATGTAAGAAATCTACATCAGAGACAGTAGTAACATCGCTTGTTTGACTAATAAGATTTTCGAATTGGACATACGTGTGGAGTCTGTTACTATATAGATTTAAGTCAAAAAATTTCAACACAAAAGATAGGGCTTCTGATTGTAATGCCGACAAGCTGACGAAGGGGTGATTGAAAACGAATTCATTGGGGTCGATGGCGAACTTCTTCTGTGCTTCGACGGATTTTAGCCTCCTGTTCATATCTGATTTAACATTCTCAGCTCGTTTGCTCTGCACCAAGGTAACATTTATCGAACGATTCTCTTTCACTTGATATATTTCTCTGCAACTCGAATATACGCGAACTAATAAAATCAATAAGGTTTCTAATGTGACGTTGGAGAGTTTTAAAATTGGGATAAATATGATGCTTTCAGAGTGCTTTCCAGAACCACTTTATTTTATTATTTATTTTATCGATGATTCTTAATGCAGTTTTGAAAGAAGTTCAGTTCTGCATTCACTTCGGCGAGTTTGACAGAGTACCACAGAAACCCATTGAGTTCCTTCACTGTCGAAGGGTCCTTGCATTCTTT